TTAAGATTGATCTATCCTGTGTTAAAAGAAGGGAGGCTTAAAGGATCAAGTTTTAACTTCAAGTAGTGCAAGTTCCAACCTCGTCTCGAGGAAACTCCAACACCCAATCTAAGAAAGGAGGAAGGGAAACAAAGTAGAATCCGGTAAAGTTCATACACTATTCCCTAAAGCCAGAGTAATGGAAGTAATAATGCATAAACTTTCATACAGTCCATCGGAACCAATTGTAAATAATACAAATCAATTTGACAAATCAAACAAAGGAAAAGAACTGAGAGAAGAAGAAGAAACGATTATGAGAGCCTCCAAAAATTAGGTTTCTAATGAAATAATTGGATTTATATATTAAAAGAAGAGTAAACAAAACAGAAAATCTATACTAGAAGGAAACTAAATAAAATTATGTATAAATCAAATATGTTATATATGGCTAACGTCCCTCCGCAAATTCATGATACTATAGCAAAAAGCGGCGAGAGTTTGTCAAGAAAGAAGTGAAAATGATGAATTTGATGAGACTTAGTGAAGAAATTAGCAAGCTAAAATGATGAAGAAACAAAGGGTAGGAAAATAGTGCAAGTCTGTAGATGATGGCGAACCAGATGACAGTCAATCTCAATATGCTTCTGCTTCATGGAACACAGAGTTGTGAGATATTTGAATAGCACTTTGATTATCACAATACATAGGGGTTGGAAAGGATGAAGGGACACCCATGCCTACAAGTAACAAATGCAATCACACAATCTCAGTGGTGGTGGATGCCATAGCTCGATACTTGACCTCAGTAAAGAATGGGAAACCACAGTTTGTTTCTTACTCGTCCAAGAGATTAGAGAATCACAAAAAAATATACAAAAACCAGTAGTGGACCTACGATCAGTGGGGTTACTGGCCAATCAGCATCAGGCACTAAAGAAGAGGTCGATGGAAACAAAATACTCAGAAAGCAAGTATCATGAAGATAGCACAAAATACGAACAACAGCTGCCCAATGAACTGTAGTAGGAGAAGCAACAAATTGACTAGCAACATGAACAACATATGCAATATCTGGAAGGCTAATAATGAGATATACCAAGCTCCCAACAAT